TAAATAATGTACAACCCAAAACAGACGGCCGAACTGACGTGACAATGACATTTGGCGCGCTAAACATGGCGGATTTTCGGCCTCATTAGACGGAGACGGAGACATTTACGTATATTCATGTTTCATTTTATGTACGCACTGAAATACTGTTATATTGTTTTCCTGCGAGTTAAAGTGCTGAGTAAGAACGAGATAGATATATGTTTATGTGTGTGCCTTCAAAATGGGTGCTATTTATATAAGCAATTGTACGTATAGAACAATATGTCGTGTCCCTACTATATAGGTCTATGCAAATTAATCATCTTCATTTCATTTCATTTATCTTCATATTATCATTTTTCATAAAAATAAGAATATAAATTATAATAAGACATGACTTAAAGGTATTTGTTACCAGGTCATAAAATCCCTTAAAAAAAAGAAGGAAACATAACCTTAAAGTATAAGTGTAAACAAAACAACAATATACCAATTACCAATTTTCTTCGTGTATTTATAGAGTACAAAATTCTTAATACATTTATTTATCTATAATAACTAAACATTGCATATACAAAATTATCGTTTTTCTTGTGTTATTCAAACAAATTTGTAAGAGTAAATTGTTGGTTTGTAGAAGAGTACAATGTTCGGTAGTCAGATTAGCACGGGCTCGAACAACCCCAACAAGGACGTGGAGGTTTCCTCGCCGCCCGATGACACCGTGTCGGCCCTCGAGTTCTCGCCGCCCTCCGTCACTCTGCACACCTTCCTGATCGCTGGCAGCTGGGACTGCCAAGTAACTACCAATAATAGTTCATTGAGCCGATTGCTAACTATTGCTTAATTGTTTCTGGAAGAGTTTATAAACTATAATGTCATTTGGTACAGATTGTAGAACTAGTACCAATTATAATATAGTAGGGCAGCCGTTGTACTGTAAAAATGGAGACTTTGAACTTATGTGTCAAGGTGGATGGCAGCATTTACGTTGTTCATGTCTATGCACTCTACCACCACTGACCACTTAACACCAGATCAATATGTCAAATTTATTTTCAAGTTTAAAGCTTATGAAATATGAGAATAATTGTTTTTCCAGGTGAGATGTTGGGAAGTGGAAACTTCTGGGAAAACAGTGCCTAAGGCTGCACAGCCTATGGATGGACCGGTCCTAGATGTTGCCTGGCATGATGTAAGCCAAATTACAGTCCTATTGCTTGTAATAGTATACATTCAATGTTATTTGTAATTCAATGAAACTCTACCCTGCGTAATTTTGTTGCAAAGCAGTAACACCTTCAAGTTAGAAGGGTGCGCCTGCTATTATACTTTACAATAAAGTTTCTAAACCTCATTTACAATTCTAAAAACTCATGGTGTAATCCTTTTACATCCAGTAGGGTGACATAACAACATCTGAAGTAATATACGTCACAGCACTGTCAGGTACAAAGATAGATAAATATGTAGAATTTATTCAAAATGCACTATAACTAACAAATGTTTTGTTTAAGGATGGGACGAAGGTTTTTATGGCTTCAACAGACAAAAGTGTGAAGTGTTGGGACTTAGCAGCCAACCAAACGATGCAGGTGATTGCTTCCACTTTATTCCTGTAGAAGGCCAGCTCATGGCCCACCTGTTGATTAGTGGTGGAGTGATGTGATAGTACACTATAGTTTTTAACTATTGTCTATATCTTTTGAGACAGTATGTTGCGGTTCAATTTGCATTAAAGATAAATAAATAAATAATAAGGCACAAATCACACAGTAATCACTCTCCAAGCAAGGATCCTTGTACTGTGTATGGTAGTCCATAATTACTCGTAGTTGTGTCTTGTCCATATTGGTGAACAAGATACGAATGTAGTGAAAAGAAAATACTAATCATTAACAAATAGAATTCAATATTAAAAAAATGAAATTCACTTGAATTTAGCATGGATTGCCAGCCCATCATAATTTACGCTTCAAATGTCAGTATGTATTGTAAAACGACAACTTCGTAGGTAAAGAGCTATTATGTAAATACATAGATATTAAATAAGATATCAGACACACACTCCTGCTTGTGACACTAATGGTTGCCGCACGTGAGAATGAGTGTTGAGATCGTCGTGAAGTAGAGCTTAGCCTGGAGGTGAGCGCAAGGGGTGCGACTGTGCTGGCGTTCGAATCCCACCGGCCAGTCACAAATGTTGAATGAAATACCTCCATGAATCCTGAATAAATCCGTGTTGATTTCCACAACTAATCAATAACTTCGTGTAACCACTGTGGGCGGGGCGCCTTGCGAGCTCGCACACGTATATACCTACCTCACTGCTGCCAAGTAGTGATTTTTTCCAGTTTGAAGCGTGGGATAGTCAGCATATTGTATACAATGGAGACTTGACTTCATGTCTGAAGGGGGGTGGTAGCATTCACGTCGTGCTGTCTATGGGCTCTGATAACCAGTTAACAGAAGGTGGGCCGTGAGCTCGTCCGCCCGTATAAGCGACAAAGTATATGATGTCTACTTGGTACATAGGTAGCGGCGCACGACGCTCCAGTGAAGACTTGCCACTGGATCAAAGCGCCCAACTACACGTGTCTCATGACCACCTCCTGGGATAAAACTCTGAAGGTAACTTGCAAACTGTTGTGTTAGCGTGTATGGGGACAAGTGATACTCAAGACGGCCAGTGACACACTAACATTTATTTCAAACATAACATATCCTCCCTTAACAATTCAAGACGTATAGGTAACAATAAACTAAACTAAACTAAAATAAAAACATAATAACTAAACAATTATATCCTATAACAATTTTAGTAAAACTGTCTATAATTAACTTTAGG